ACAGTAGAGACCCACAGACTACTCACACTAGAGACCCACAGACTATTCACACAGCAGAGACCCACAGACTACTCACACAGTAGAGACCCACAGACTACTCACACAGTAGAGACCCACAGACTACTCACACAACAGAGACCCACAGACTACTCACACAGTAGAGACCCACAGACTACTCACACAGTAGAGACCCACAAACTACTCACACAGAGACCCACAGACTACACACACAGAGACCCACAGACTACTCACACACAGAGACCCACAGACTATTCACTCACGCAGAGACCCACAGACTACTCACTCACTCAGAGACCCACAGACTACTCACACAGTAGAGACCCACAGACTACTCACACAGAGACCCACAGACTACTCACACACAGAGACCCACATACTCACACACACAGAGATCCACAGACTACTCACACAGTAGAGACCCACAGACTACTCACACAGTAGAGACCCACACTACTCACACAGTAGAGACCCACAGACTACTCACAGCAGAGACCCACAGACTACTCACACACAGAGACCCACAGACTACTCACTCACTCAGAGACCCACAGACTACTCACACAGTAGAGACCCACAGACTACTCACACAATAGAGACCCACAGACTACTCACACAGTAGAGACCCACAGACTACTCACACACACCAGAGACCCACAGACTACTCACACAGAGACCCACAGACTACTCACACACAGAACCACAGACTACTCACACACAGACTACACACACAGACTACTCACACACACACAGACTACTCACACACACACAGACTACTCACACACACACACACACTACTCACACACCACACACTACTCACACACACACAGACTACTCACACACACACAGACTACTCACACACACAGACTACTCACACACACACAGACTACTCACCACACACAGACTACTCACACACAGACTACTCACACACAGACTACTCACACACACACAGACTACTCACACACACACAGACTACTCACACACACACAGACTACTCACACACACAGACTACTCACACACACACAGACTACTCACACACACACAGACTACTCACACACACACAGACTACACACACGACTACTCACACACACAGAGAGATCCACAGACTACTCACACAGTAGAACCCACAGACTACTCACACACACACAGAGACCCACAGACTACTCACCACACACACACACAGAGACCCATAGACTACTCACACACACACACAGAGACTCACAGACTACTCACATACACACACAGAGACCCACAGACTACTCACACACACAGAGAGACACACAGACTACTCACACACACACGAGACCCATAGACTACTCACCACACACAGAGACTCACAGACTACTCACACACACACACAGAGACCCAGACTACTCACACACACACAGAGAGACACACAGACTACTCACACACACACACAGAGACCCATAGACTACTCACACACACACCAGAGACTCACAGACTACTCACACACACACAGAGCCCCACAGACTACTCCACAGAGACCCACAGACTACACACACACAGACTACTCACACACACACACAGAGCCCCACAGACTACTCACACAGAGACCCACAGACTACACACACACACAGACTACTCACACACACACAGACTACTCACACACACACAGACTACTCACACACACAAAGTCGTGGACGCGTAGTCACCGTGCAGAACACCGATCAACTTTATTCGGAATACCAACCAATCACATTGCCCAAAAAGTATAACCCCCAAAGAGAAAGCTCCCCGTGTAGCCTCTAGCAGGCTGCAGGGTCAAGTGCTGATAGTAGCGAGTAGCAGTGCCTATAGAGACAAAGACAAAGGTCCCCGTGTAGCCTCTAGCAGGCTGTAGGGGTAAGTGCTGTTAGTAGTGAGTAGCAACATCAACCCCTATGATGATCATGGTGATGGTAGTGATAGTGGTGGTGATGATAGTGATGTGGTGGTGATGGTAGTGATAGTGGTGGTGATGGTAGTGAGAGTGGTGGTGACGGTAGTGATGTGGTGGTGATGGTAGTGATAGTGGTGGTGATGGTAGTGATGTGTGGTGATGGTAGTGAGAGTGGTGGTGTGGTAGTGAGAGTGGTGGTGATGGTAGTGATAGTGGTGGTGATGGTAGTGATAGTGGTGGTGATGGTAGTGAGAGTGGTGGTGATGGTAGTGATAGTGGTGGTAGTGATGTGGTGGTGATGGTAGTGATAGTGGTGGTGATGATAGTGGTGGTGATGGTAGTGAGAGTGGTGGTGATGGTAGTGAGAGTGGTGGTGATGGTAGTGATAGTGGTGGTGATGGTAGTCATGATGATTATGGTGATGGTAGTGATGTGGTGATGATGATGGTGGTGGTGGTGATTATGGTGATGGTAGTGAATTGATGGTGATGTGGTGGTGATGGTGACATTGCAGGAGACGTCTTCATTTCCTGGAGGTCCCGTGACTCCAACCTAGACTCCTGCGGGCACACAGAGAGAGGCAAAGGTGGCACGGGTTTACCCCACCGCCACCACCAGCACTACCACCTCCACCACCACTAGCACCACTAGCACCACCAGTACCACCAGTACCACCACCACCACTAGCACCACTAGCACCAGTACCACCATCACTAGCACCACCACCAGTACCACCACCACCAGTACCCACCCCTCCACCACCACCACCACCGACACACACACAGACACACACACATACAGATACACAGACACACACAGACACACGGACAGACACACACAGACACATACACATACAGACACACACAGACACACATACACAGACCCACACAGACCCACACACACACATACAGACACATACACAGACACACACACATACAGACACACACAGACCCACACCACAGACACACACACCCACAGACACCCACACACAGACACCCACACACAATCACACACAGACACACGCACAGACCCACACACACAATCACACACAACACACACGCACAGACCCACACACAATCACACACAGACACACGCGCACAGACCCACACACACAATCACACACAGACACACACGCACAGACCCACACACACAATCACACACAGACACACAGCACAGACCCACACACACAATCACACACAGACACACACCACAGACCCACACACACAATCACACACAGACCCACACAGACCCACACACACAATCACACAC